TCGCAGTCTTCGCCCTCTTCTTCGTCCTCATTGTCGTCGTCTTCCTCTTCATCCACTTCTTCCTCCTCTTCCCCATCAGTGCTATTCATGTCGTCTGACGTGAGACACAGTTCCCGGGTGTAGAAGAGGACGGCGTTTGGCACGAATGTGTTGATCATATCCCTAATGATGTCCCACTCATACATCAGATGCTGGGTCTCAATATCGGTGATCTCATCGGCGGTCGTCGACCAGAACAGCCTAAAGAACGACATATTATGGCGAATAGTCTTCACCTGACCATCACTTCCCTGATCGAAGCAGTCGACGGTCACGTCTTTGCCGAGTTTCCACAGGATTTCCGTCGACTCGCATTTGATGGGATATAATAAGTCGATGTCCTCGAGGTTTGTCGCGAAATACATGTCTTTCATCAGCACATCGTTCGCGAAGTAATCGTTGGCCGAGAAGTGAAAGCCAAACGAATACATAGTCTTCTCGGGATTGACGGCGACTTTGATGTCAATCAAGTGCTGAAGAATGGGTTCGTCGTATTCCTCGACGTGTCTGTCGAAGGCGCTCGAGAGCAGCACTTTTAGCCAAAAGCCAGGAATGCCGGCGCTCTCGATGGGCACGGCGTCGATGGCCTCACCGTCGGGCAGATCCGAGTCCAGGGGCTCGTAATCGCCGGTCACTATCTGCCGGTGCTCGAGAGCAGCACTTTTAGCCAAAAGCCAGGAATGCCGGCGCTCTCGATGGGCACGGCGTCGATGGCCTGACCGTCGGGCAGATCCGAGTCCAGGGGCTCGTAATCGCCGGTCACTATCTGCCGGTGCCGCTCGAATAGGGGCTCGTATTCCGGTTCGTAGCGCTTCTGGAGCTCGAGAAACTCGCGCACAAACTTGGAGTCGATTTGGATCTTCTGGTGATGAAGTCTCTTGAGGGCATAGACCCGGCGTTTGATGGCGTTTGGCATCAACTCAAAGCTGGTGAGCGTCTCGGCTAAGGACTCGGTGTCCGACTTGTCTCCGAAGTCAACCCCTTCGCCCGATATGTCCAGTTTCTGGGTTTCGTCTACTATTGTGTCCGACATTTACTTCCGATGAGATAATTGAGTCATTAGTTTGTCTGAAAACTTTTGGGAACCGTTTTGTTTGAATTGATATGATTTTTTGAAATATACGGTTTAAACAACTGTTTAAATACAATACAAATTATACTGTATTTCAGAGCGCGCTCTAAAAATTGAATTCCAAATCTTCAATGTATTTAAAGTCCGTTAAATTGAACTCATCTTTCAATTGTCAACATATTTCAAAAATGGCTGATTTGGTGACTATCAGTGAAGAACCCATTGTAAGAGATATCGACACAATTGACACGAATGAAGGATTGAAATCCAAGACAGAGCTGACGACAAGTCCAGTCGTCAAGGAAGACGACATTTCAGACACTGAGACCATTGTGTTGAGTGATGAAGACGTAGAGCCAAGAGATGGTGTCTGTGGTTATGACTCGGACTCCGACACAGACTTTGAAGATTCAGACGAACCCTATGTCTTCCCACTCGAATCGCTAGCATTGTTTGGTTTGGGTTTTATCACCGGTTTTATCATCTTTAAGATCATTACAACTCCTTAGCTCTCAAACCAATACTTTCTCTTTGAGACCATTTCCACAAAATTTTATTTGTATTCAATATTTCCACAATTTATTAATATGTTTTCAAAGTAATTAACGTAAATTATAACTTATTTCATTTCAAAGATATTCAAATATGAAAAATTAAAATTTACTACAAATAAAGAGCTCTAAACTTATTTATTCATTACTTAATGAGTGAATAATTAAATAGTTTTAGTTTTAACCAAAAGTCTATTCTTTTTAAAAAAGACAATCTTTTCATTGCAGTACACAATACAGTGATTTCTTTTGAGAAAGTCCTGACCGATAAGGAAATAGTTTGAATGAAAGCTGTCCACCACTACAAGACTCATATCCATCGGGCATCCATTGATTGAGACAGTGATGGCATCTATTTTGCCAAACCATTGAAGAGTATAATTAGATCTTAATTATCATTATTAACGACGAAAATATTGACAGACAATGAGAAATAAATTGCAATTCTTTAGAGTTTTATTCAAGTTTCTGTATTTATAAGAAGGCATTCAAATGATACAAATTATGAAATACTAAACTAAATACATATAAAATTATAAATCTAATTGAAATCAATAATATATTGAAGTTTAATTACATGAAGATTACCACAAATCATATCTTATAAGATAGACTTAACTCAGACTCAAAGATCTTATTGAAAATATCATAGATTTATAACAAACTCTTAAAAATAACCACTAATTTGAGACATTTATCCACAAAAACACTTACAAATTATCTAAATTTAAACCAAATTTACAATAAATTCATTCAAATATTGCATTAAATAAACGAAAACTGAATTCTGTTTTAAAATACTTTTATTTTACAAATAATTTTGATATAAAATCATAATTTTAGATGTTTTTTCAATAACTTATTTTTTATATCAGATAAATGAGGGGAAGGTTTTCTAAATGACATTTTAAAGTTTTGAGCATTTTAAACTTATGTTGTATAATATAAAAATGAATTTAAAGCTTATGGAGTCTTAAAAAGTACTGCAAATGAATTCTGATTAATATAATCAATACATATTTATGTGAGTAATGTTATAATTGTTTATTACTGTATTGGTATTCATGAAGATTTCTTCTTTATTGTGGATTATCTTCTAAAACAGCTTTCATTTGTGACCGACTTTTTGGAATCACAGATATATTCTCTACTTCTTCACCGTTTACTTCTTCATTCACTTCTTCCACCATTTCTTTCTTCACTTCTTTTCCTTCTTCTACCACTTTATTCGTGTCGTTTGGCTCTTTGATTGTCTCATTTGTTTTCGTTGTCTTAATCGGTATCTTCTCTTTGCTCTTGCGTTCAATGACTGTATGATTGCTTTTAATGGCATTGAATCCGAGCGCTCGCCTCAACTTTCTCCAGAAGATCTCCTGATCTCTGAGGCAATTGGTATTCCACTGCAAATAGATTCTGGTTTTGAGCAGAAAGTAGAGCTGAGGGGCGACTACAGTGGCGTC